TAAGTCTAACTATTGCTATTGCTATTGCTATAAATGCCACAGTTCTCCAATATTGATTCAGGACACAATTCAGCCTGCACTGCTAATTTTTCACCATGTATCTTTATCAAAATTTATGTTTATCAAAAGTATTGCTTGTCTGTCAAGTATCTGCATTATTGAGAATGATTTTGAAAAATCAACCTGAAAATGAAAGGCATGACATCTTAATGAAATTTTAATCTATGTTGAATGAGTATTATGTATAATTTTATTTCCATATCTACAGTAATGCAGGGAATAATGTACTCACTTGATCAGAAGTATAAGCTACCAGTCGGCCAATAATTTCTCCCTGAGTCAGATTTTCATTGTCTAACTGAATACGATGGATTGCTTTGGTTCGAGCTGCCAGCATGGCAACCAAAGTAGCTTCACTGGCAGTTCCCTGTGATGGAAAATTGGACAGGTTGGATAAGAGTATCCAGTAAAAATTGTCCTAAATTAATAAGGAGTATCCACTGCATTGGTATTGCTTATATAGTACAATTGATGGTACTGAAAATCACACAACAGCAACATCATCTTGATGGTCTAATCAAATAATAATTCTTTCTTCCTGACACAAATGTATACAACACAATGTGTCATCCATGCTTGCTTTAGATGTCAATAGGCTGTAGATACATTTATGTGAAAGTGCTCTTAGACAGCCTGAGGGGGGAAAACAGCAAAGAGGCAAAAGCAATATTATACAGCGATCTTTTTTAAATTAAGGACAGAATCCATCTTATTTCACCTTTCTAAATCAGAATATTATTAACTAAAATTAACAGGGTTGCATTCTTAAATATGGATGGACCCCTAATAAAATGACAATGCAAAAAAAAGCTGAAGGCGCTTATGAGTAACTTTGCTTTTTAAAATGACAAATACTAAGAGGACAGTCGATTTCATTTTTCTTTACAAACATAGGTTACTATGGTGAACAGACTCAAGAGCCGGCATATATATTGCCAAATAAAGTCCCCAGCAGACATTTTCTTTCATCTTTAATTGTTTCAAGTGGCACATTTGAAGTAGCAGGCAATGATTTCATATTGATTTATCCTTTCAGCTGTAATTAAGCACCAATTTTCACAAGCGAATAGTGCAAATAATCATTTGGGTTTAAATCTAGGAAAGGTTGGCAGTTTTCATATAAAACCCATGTTTCACGTGTCCTTTCCTGTTTCTATCACTGTTATTATGACTGTGGAAAAAGAAAACCATCTGCACAAATTGCTTCCTCTCTGATAATAGCAGGAGAGTCCTTAAGCCATTCTCCTTCTGTCCTAAAGATAAACAATGAAAATAACATCTACAATTACTGGCAATCATGTATTGTCACTAAAAATGAGTTAATAAACAGATATAAATGCCCCATATCATCAGCACAAAAGATACTTTTGCAAGTTTTTATAAATATAACATATAAATACATGGCACTATAATGTAAAGCTAGGGAAAAGATGTCTGAATATTTCTGCAGAAGATTCAATGTCTGGCAAGGCTCATTTATAACTTTGTTAAAATACAAAACTCTAAAACTTCAGCTGACATGAAAAAAATACAAAGAAGCACAAAAGCATTTAACAAAGTAGCAAAGAAGGAATCTGTAAGTGGCTCCAGTATGAGATTGATATTTTTCTACTGGGCACTATCCTCATAAGAATATCACATTTGCATGTAATGAAATGGGTAACAAAACGTTTTAGGACTCATTTACATATGCACAGTCCTTTGACTAATGAAACTTCAAAAGGTAACTGTATGTGTGAATGGGAAATTAAAGAATAATTCAGTCAGCTCACATTTTTATCACTTATCAAAAATGCAGTAATCAGGCACAGAAAAATCATGTGTGAATTTATTTATTCATTTATGATTGATATGAACAAATCAGATAGAAGTACTAAAAGTAGAAATCATGCCAGACTTAGAGGTAAGCAAATCCAGGATTTGAAACTTGGATTTCATATATTTATCTGATTTCATTATTCATCAGCGTCTATATTTTGAGATGTATTGGCATCTCAATCTGAAGATACAGGGAGAGTCATAATTATGGCATGACAATTTACACTTTGCCAGATAATAATCGAGAGCCAATTTGGTGTAGGCATCAGTTTGAAACTGAATTCTACTGTTGTCTTAGGCTCAAAACCAGCTGGTGACCTTGAGCCAGTTACTTTCTTTCAGCTTGAGGAGGGAGGCAAACCATTTTTGAAAAATATTGCCAAGAAGACTGCAGGAACTCCTCCAAGCAAACTCTCGATAATCAGACATGATTAAACAGAAGAAAAAAAATCATAATACAAACTTCTACAAATTCATTTTAAACAGTGGATACCGATCTACTTCCATAATGATAATTTAGCAGGCTGTTGAATTGAATTACTAAATTTAGAAGAATTTAATAATTTAAGTCATAATCTAACACAGAATTTTAATAAACTGATTTCAATAAATAGAAGTGTATTTAGCACTGAGTTAGTGGTGTTAAATTAAAACTTTTGGCCCTTCATATTTTGACAAATTACACCCCTTGTCAATCAAGCCAAAATAACAACTGATGAGTGAACTTAAAACCATGGCTCAGTCATAGTTGTTCCATTCCTAACTTACACACACTCAGGTATACCTGCAATCCAGAGAACTATATCAAATAAAATTGACATATGAAATAATGTTGATGTAGACTTATCCTTAAAATATTCCTCTTTGTGCTCCCAGATATGTCTTTTATTTCCCTTTTCTATCTGATCTGGATTTCATTTCCCTCCAAATAGCCACTGGACCTCTCTAAGCATTCCTTTTAATATATATTTTTTGATAATGTTTTCTCCATCACTGCAAAATCTGGGTTTACCCCAAAAATCTTTAGATATTTTTTCACTTTGTGTAATAATTCTGTTTTGGACAGAATTCTGAAATATTCTGGTAACTGAATCAGAAAGAGAGAAAGTGACAATATTATATTTAAAAAGAAATATATGACAATGTATACAATATAATATTCTATCCACTTTAGATACAATACAGATCAAATTCAGCAGCAAATATTCTAAATTACCTGGATTACCCCACCTCCTTCTCCATCTTTCCCAGCCAGAAATTGTGGAGGCAAATTGATCATCTTTCCTAGCCAATCCAGCATGACTGCTTCCAATTCAGTACAAGCTGGGCTTGATGCCTAGAATGGGAAAACATGGTGAGAAGGAAAGAAAAGTCTCCAGTGATTTATTTAGATATTTATACATTTCAGAAGAGTGCACAGAATAAAAAAGAATTGAAGCATGGATGATTCAAGTATAACTCAGAATGTTACTTAATTTGTGAGTGAAAAAAAGTGATAATTAATTATCCATTTGAGTAACTACTACATATGACAGGTATATTAACTCATTCTCCTAATACAATTTTAAACTATAGATAAAAGCATATCAAAATTTGAAATCACACCTTATCAAGCTATTATACATATACATATAATTGAGTATGCAGGTATATGTACACACAAACGCACACACAGAGAGAGAGGGGGGAGGGAGAGAAGGGGGGAGAGAGGTAAGTATGTCTTTCTGAGTATACCAGAACCTCTCTCACTGGTAATCTTCTTTATATGATTACTATCAGTATTCAAAAAGGCAGTTAGAGGAGCTAAATACGGAAAGAATACTGCTTAATCTTATACAGCTTTCAATATTCTGAGACCAAATTACCCTCATAATCATTGTTGAAGGACATATTCCAAAATATTGCTTCCGTCTGATCTAAGGTTGCCATGGAGGCAGCCTAATAACAGATGTTCTGGTTTTCATCTTCTCTGATACAAGTCTTCCTATAGGAAACTGTTTCCACATAGATATACTGTAGGAATTAGTTTGTAGCTTAGAATAGAAACTACTGAGAGTTTTAGGTTTTTTATTTTATGCAAAGGAAACACTTTTGTACATGCAGTTATGTTAAACCCTATATTTGTACAGGTAATCCTTGACAACAATTCGTTTAACTGTTCAAAGTTGCAATGGCACTGAAAAAGTGACTTATGACCATTTTGCACACTTATGACCATTGCAGCATCCCCATGGTTATATGATTTACATTTGGATACTTGACAACTGGTTCATATGTATGATGGTTGCTGTATCCCAAAGTCATGTGATCATCTTTCGCAAACTTCTGACAAGCAAAATCAATGGGAAAGCCAGATTCACTTAACAACCGTGTTACTGCACTGAGTCACTTAATAAATATGACAAGAAAAGTTTTATAATGGGGCAAAATGCACTTAACAAATTTCTCACTTAGCAATATAAATTCTGGGCTCAATTGTGGTCATAAATTGAGGACTACCTATATATCCAATTCTGAGAGTGGAGCAGATAAAGAGGGGCCTTAGAGAGGGACACATAAAGAAATATGAAATATAAACAAACAAATAAGTTCCTTTTCCAGTGCAGGAGTTTTGCAACTATAGCATCCCTGATTGATGGTTAGCTTTCCTCCACTTGAATACTGCCAGCAAAGAAGGCCACATCAACCAGTTCCCACTTGAGTATTAATAAACATTAGACAATTTAAGATTTATAATCTGCCTTCCTAATTACGGTTCTCATATGCTCTATTTGGAATATTTGATTAGATGGGACAGTCAATTTTGTTCTTCAGTTTTGTTTGTATAAGCACGGTATCTGTAGGAGCTTGCAGGTTTT